CTGGTACTCGCGTGATACGGGTTCCAATCGTCACTTGCGCAATCGGTTTGAAAGCGGGATTAAGAGGTACAACGCTGCTAAAACGAGAAACCACGGTTCCTGTTCACATGCATACGAGTATTTGTTCTATGGCGAAGTCCCTCTCCTATGTGAAAAGACACAGAACCAAGATGAGTTGCTCCGAATAACAGAGGTGCGTCTTTAAATTCCTTACACGTATGGAGGACGCTGTGTGTGATTACATAGGAGGGCTTTCGATCCCCAGAATCTTATGAAGCACTGGGTTACAATTCTGCCGTCACGCTATTTGCTTCAGTTGCAGGTGCAGACCAGGAAAGATTATGTTTTGGTGCTATGAGCCAACACGAGCAAAGTACAGATGGAGGTTGTCAATCACACTGCGTGGACTCCGTATTGAATCATGGTCAATTGATAATCGCTAAGACGCATATCGGGCAGTGTGTCGAGGGAGAGGCTGATGACCACGGTACAATTTCCCTTGCCAACTCCCATCTGTACAACAGTGTCTATATCAACAAGGGGCCTGAGACAAATCATAGACAGGCAAGATTCTTCTTTCTCCTTTTTTAATCTCATCTACCATTTCATGCGTAGTGGCTGATATTTGATCAAGAAATGGTCTTACCAGAGTACTTGGTTTCTTTCGACTACATTGTTGAAAGTGGCTTCCAGTATTCACAAGTCACCAGCGCACCATTCGACCAGAATAATTATGGTATTGGCAGCATTGGTGGTAGAGACACGCTATCAGAGCAAGAATTGGTGGATTATGCGCCATTTTTGTTGCCTTTAGTGGGCTTCCTCGAGCAGCTTGGTCTCGCCTCACTATCACATCGTGATAAGTTCGGGACACTCGTTGACATGGCATTGGGACTCTCTTCAAGATTCCCCCAGCAGCCCAACCTCTCGCACATAAGCGAGGAGGCCATTTTGGCAAGGACTCGTGAAAGTAGAATATCGGAGGTCACCCAGCTGAATCTACACGGCCTTGGCATTTGCAGAATAGAAATGCTGGATACTTGTTCCAATCTGCAGAGTCTCTCTTTGAGCTGCAACAACATCAGGACAATCGAAGGGCTGGTGATGCTTCAGCAGCTGACTTTTCTCGACCTCAGTTTCAACTTGCTCAGTCGCGTGACAGGCTTAGTTGGCAACCCCAGGCTTCAGACGGCTTTATTGAATAGTAACAGCTTAAATAGATTAGATGACTTGAATATTATACGAAGCAGTATACCAGGGCTTGTCGAACTAGATCTGAGAGGAAACTCCTTGACCAAAGAACACGCCTACAGATCAATCGCGCTGCTGAGCCTGAGCACCTTAAAGCGCCTCGATGGCAAGTCCATCCAGGGCGCAGAGAGGGAAAGTCTCCGGCTACCTCCGGTTGAATTGACGATCAATCACATTCGCTTTGGCGCTCGTAAGTACCATGGGGCGGCATTGGGAGGGCATTTTGTGAGGTTAGAAGCCGATGAGCTGGATTCCTCCGATACGAGTTGGTTAGGCGCAATCAAAAGTCTTAGTGTCAATCACGCCGGGCTTGCTCGCCTGCGGAATCTCGAGGGTCTCACACAGCTCTGTCACGCCTCGTTTTCACACAACTTGCTTTTGAACCTAGATGGTCTCTCATTTTGTACAGCGCTGGAGGATCTATTGGCTGAGGATAACCGCATAAGCGCATGCACAACGCTGGAAGCATGTCGAGAGTTGAAAAAGCTTGATCTCAGTCACAATCAACTCAGCGTCATTCGCAGTTTAGAGTCCTTGCGGAATTTGACTCAGCTATCTCTCGAAAATAATTTTATATCCAGCTTGGCTAGCATTGCGCATCTCACGAGTCTCATGGAGCTTTACATGGGAAACAATGACATAGAAGCAATTCAAGAAATAGATTATTTGAAGCACTCTCCAAAGCTCATAATTATGGATCTTTCTGGGAACCGTCTTTGCGCGTCACAAGATTATCGTTTATATGTACTCTTTCGGCTACGGAGACTCAAGGTCCTGGATGGTACCAGCGTTCTGGCAGATGAGTCCAATTTAGCCCGTGAAAAGTTTAGTGGCAAGCTCACCAGAGAATTCCTATTTGACCGTCTCGAACACGCATCATTCGCTTCTGTCTGTCAGCTCGAAATATCATCACTAAAGTTGCGTGACCTATCCATACTGTGCGAACTGGATTTCTTTAGTTTATATGATCTGAACGCAGAAAACAATCATTTATGTACGTGCGTACCAACATTCAATCCTATATGAGGCCTTCAAATAGGTGATTTTGGTTATCTGGGAGCTTTGCCTGCGTTGAACACATTACGATTGGGACAAAATCGAGTTGGATCCTTTTCAAAGAGTGCTTTGAACTTCAATATGGATTCCCTAGAAGTCCTGCATTTGGCTAACAATCGTGTCAGCGACATAAATGATCTTCAACTGCATCGCTGCCCGCATCTCAAGGAATTGCAATTGCAAAATAATTACACATGCTATGTTGGTGGCTTTGACCATTGTTCACAGCTCCTTAAACTTGACACCAGCAAGAACCGGGTCCGACAAGTACCTTCAGGTGGTCTCATTGGACTATCTGTGCTTAGAGAGTTGCGGATGGAAGAAGCAGGTCTGCGAACACTGGCCAACCTCGCGCCCTTGAAGGCCCTGAATCATCTTCATTTGGCATTCAATCGAATTAATGATATCGGGGAGCTTGAAAAACTTGCGGGCGTGGGTTTTATTACAGAGATTACATTGTGCAATAATCCAATTGCACGCAGGCAGCTCTACAGGCCTACTATAATTTGCCAAATTCCTTCAATCTGCTGGATTGACGGACGCGATGTTGGTGAGGAAGAGAGAGAGCGAGCAGAATTATTCCTCAAGACCGAGCAGCCCCTAAAGTTTTTTTGGCAGGATATTCAGCCAAGTGTGACAACACGCCTGAACTCCACAATTGCGCACTCAACCACGTCGAATTCGGATTCAAGCGTCATTTTGCGTCGACTACCTCAACGAGGGGCCTTTAGTTTGAGTCCAGCACAAGCCGCGAAGCGGGGCTGACGCTGCTATTGCCGCTCCAGAGCCGTCGGATGGCTCTCCCCAGCCGACTTTTCCTCTGCTCGCATAAGCCGCTAAGCTCTCTTAGCATTTGCACCTCTTCTGCCCGCTGCAGCAGCTCCTCCATTCTAGATGACATGCTTCCCCTAATGTCCACCAAATGTAAAGGGATTTAACTATGCTCCCCTTCACTGAAATCACTTCGACCCAACGAGCGTGAAGCCGAGGCCGGCTCGTAAGACTTAGTTACGCCTAATGTCAACAATCTTCTCCAAACCTCACCAATCCTCTCCACGCGAGAGCCCAAACTTCAGCTATCGGCACGCTCTCGCGCCGATGGCGTCGTCTCCCGCGGCCATGCCGCTGCCACGACGCGAGCTCGTACGACCAGCGCTCGAAGGTGCGAGCCGTTTGCTCCATGTCGCGTGCTTCAACGTGCAGCACAACATGCCGCTGCAAGCGTTCGCTGGCTGCCCGTTTGGATTTGGTTCCAAAGCAGCCCGACGACACCGTGAGTCGTTGAGATGTGACAGGCGCCGCTGGCGGTCGTGGAGCGTTGTCCCGCGCAGTACATGGTCACGCCGCCGGGCCAGATGGGCGTCCCGATGGCCGTCTGCGCGTGGCCGACGGGGCCCATGATGTCCGGCGCGCTGCCGCCGACGACGCCCAGGGTCGCGGCTCCTAGGCTCCTACGGCGCATCCCTTGGCGGCCGGGACGCGTCCCGCGGCGACGTCGACGACTCCTGCGGCTCCTAGGGGTCCAACGGCGACTACTACGCCAGCTGCCACGGCACCTCCTCCGGCTCCTACGGCATCTCCTACGTGTCCTACGGCGCAGCCCCCGGCGGCCGCGGCGCGGCCCGCGACGGCGACTCCAACGGTGACTCCTACGGCTCCGCTGGCGACTCCTACGGCTCCGCTGGCGACTCCTACGGCGTCGCCCAAGGCCCTGGGTCAGGCGGGCATGCGCGTGTTCACGATGCTGCAGGACGAGCTCGACGGCGAGTCCGACATCGGAGTGCTGCGGGCGACGGCCAAGCAGATGCTGCGGTCGGGCAAGCTCCTCTACAAGAAGCACGTGAAGCGGTCCAAGCGCGAGGAGAACGCGCGGCGCCGCATGAAGAAGAGCGGCTTGTCGCCCAAGGACGCGACGGCCCACGAGATCAAGACGCTCGTCGCGTTCATGGACGACGCCGTCGACTCCAAGGACGTGTCCGAGGCGGCGAAGAAGTCCCTGGGCCGCGGCAAGAAGCAGCAAATGGAGAAATTCTTTTCGCTCGCCCACCGCCTCTACGCGGGCAGGTTGTGGAAGAAGATCGAGACCGACGTGCTGAAGCGGCGGGCTCTCGACGCGCGCAAGGGCGCCAAGATCGTCGACGACAGCAAGCTCAACTACTCGGCCTTCACGGCAATGCGCAAGGAGCTCGGCGAGCACGGCACGAAGGAGAAGCGCGTCACGGGCCAGACGGTGATCCCGTCGGCGTCGAGCGTGCAGCGCGTCAACGCGGACCTCGACGCCTACGTCGCCCAGAAGGGCCTCATGTGCGCGGGCGAGGGCGAGATGTGGCACGCCGACCACGGCAAGATCATGCCCAGCACCTTCGAGATCTACGGCTACCAGGGCGCGTACGACGCGTCGCCCAACTCCGGCGCGTGGCGACGGCCTGGCTCAGACCCGGACGCGCCGATCCCCATGATGATCGGCTGCGCCGCCGACGAGCTGCCGTGCGAAACTGGCGTCGGCGGGACCGGTCTGATGGCCATGGCGATCCACCACTGCGATCCACGCCTGAGCAAAAACGTCCGCGAGTCGCCGCAGATGGACGAGCACGTCCAGCCCGTCGTGCTCTACCCCACGAAGCAGAGGAAGCGCAAGCTCGACGAGAAGGCCCGCGCCGCGACGGCCTACGCCACGGCGTGCTCCGAGGGCGTCGACGACGACGCGTCCGACGACGACGACGCGGCGGAGCACGACGACGACTTCGAGGGCATGTACCAGGCCGAGCCCAACGAGGAGGGCGACGCCTGCACGGTCCTGGCGGCGGGCAAGCTCAAGACCAAGCGCGACGAGGTCGGCAAGAACCTGGGGCCCATGGTCGAGACGCTGCTCGCGGAAGAGGAGCGGCGGAAGGACTCGAGCATGCCCATCTGCTGCTGCTTCACGCTGGACAAGGTGGGCCAGTACGAGTTCGGCCCGTTCCGCTGCGCGACGGTGGGCTACCATCTCTGCAACTTCTGCCCCTGCGCGCGGTCCATGGCCGGCCACGGGCAGCCCGGCGGCTGCCGACGGTGTCGCGAGGCCGGAACCGAGGCGACCTGCACGCACTGGGACATGGCGACGCCCGCGACGAAACAGTACTTCGAGGACCGCGAGAAGGCCTTGGCGGAGCGCGTGGGCACGATGCCGGACCAGGTCTTGCCGTTCTGGCGGAACAAGGCCGAGGCGAAGGAGATCGTGCGGAAGCTCGAGATCAAGCTCAGGAGCGGCGCGAAGCTCGAGACCATCGAGTCGGCGATCCGCGCCAAATGCGACTGCCTCACGGTGCGTGGCGCCGACTTGCCGTCGAACAAGCGCCACGTGAACCGCGCGCCGGACAAGGCCGTGCTCCGAGACGCGCGTCGATGGGCGAAGGCGTCGGGCCGGGAGGAGCCGCCGAAGCCTACGACGCCCGAGGCCTGGAAGCAGCTCCGTGACACCCACCGTGTGCTCCTCGGCGACGCGGAGCGCCTGCTACACGTGCGCCAGGTCCTGAAATTCTGGGAGCTCCTGAGCCCGCACGACCGCGGTCGACTCGTCTCGCGCGACGGGCACCTCCTCGACGTGACGAAGATCGTCGATTGCGCGCTGCATCTGACGCTCCGAGTCATCCACACCCTTTCACTTCTTTACAAGATCCCTCTCCACGCTCAGAGTGGTCTTCTGGCTGCTGAAATTGGGTCCAGGCTCGACCGCGCGACCGCGGCCATCCAGACGGGGCTCGATTCGGCGTCCTTCGCCCACCGCAAGGCAGAGGGGTCCGACGCGGCGGCGTGGAAGGCCGGCACGACGAAGCTGCGGGTCTTCAGTATGCCGGCGAAGCGCGCTAAAGAGATCGTAAGAACATCCTTAATATGCAACTCAAATCACCAAATTATCACCGTCAAGCACGCCAACAGCGCCGGCGGCGAGACGACGCGCATCGTGGACGTCGGCGACGGCACGCCGACGATCAAGGTGTCGCTGCTCGAGCGTGTCGCGGAGGAGCTTCTTCCGGACGACGCGCGACTCCCGAAGGTCAAACTCTTCCTCCAGGAGCTCATCTTCGTGCTCCACATCGTCAACACCAAGTCCTGGGAGACGGACCCGAGCATGCCCGCGACCTTCCAGGGCCACGCCGACGCCATGGGCAGGCTCATGGTCGAGATTTGGGGGCCCGAGAGCATCACGCCCTACTTCCACGACATCATCGCGGGGCACCTAGGCCAAGTGGACGGAAACTAACCAACACCGACACCGCCACACACACCGACGTCCCATTACAATATGATGACTGGGCTACCTTAAAGTAGCACACTGAGCTTCCCCTCTCTCTCCCGCTACGCCCATCCTGCTTCTACGGACTGCACCTTAACGTCAGGTTAATGTACGGGACTTAGATTCTCCACAGAACCTGACCCAGAACCCAGCGCCAGAACCCCCCCCCCGCGGGACCCTAGGGAACCCGAAACGCCCCCGGTAATTTAGCGCGGTAATTTGGGGTCGGCAGCTGGGGGCTTTATTCAGGCGCCGGGGGGCCGGGCGGGCCCCAAACTAGAACGCGTCGTATTTCCCGCGGGCAGTCTATAATGGCGCTTTGCAGGCCCTTTGAGGGGTGCGGGCACGAGGGTCATTGCTGTTTGCCTCCTGTTTGGCCTACATGC